TTTCCAGTTCAATAAAAGTGACGGATCTGACAAAATGTAAAATCATTCATTTCCTTACAATTAGAGTCTCTTTTTGAACTGCCAACACGTTTCAGCGCGCCAAAGTGGCGAATCTCACTGAAGATTAAAGTAAAGTGCATCAAGCAAACATATCAATGTCGCTTACAGGTGCTGCTGTGTTTCTTTCAACCTTGAACATTTTCCTGTCCATTACTGCATCAGTGAGCAATGCTCTGATCCTCGTTGCTCTTCATAAAGAATCTTCTCTTCATCCACCAACAAAACTTTTATTTCAATGTCTTGCGGTTACTGACCTTTGTGCTGGCGTCATTTCGCAGCCGCTCTTTGCAGTCGCGATTTTGGCACGTGTAATTAAGAGAACTTACCTCAAGGATGGATTCATTGTTACAGGATTTCTCTTGTGTGGGACATCAGCCGCGACAACGGCGGCAATAAGTGTGGACAGATTTCTCGCCCTCTTACTTGGTTTGAGATACCGACATGTTGTAACTCTAAAACGAACTCGTGCAGTAATAGTCTGTTTCTTTGTCATTGGTATTTCAGTTGGATCGATGCACTTTTGGAGTGATCAAGTTGCCTGGCTTGCAGATATTATTTTTGGACTAGTTTCTCTGATAGCTTCAATCTTATCTTACACGAAGATTTACTTGACATTACGTCAACATCAAGCTCAAGTCCAAGAACGTGTCAACCAAGGACAGCAAAACGGAGGAGGAATTCCACTGAATATAGCTCGATACAAGAAGTCGGTTTCTAGCATAGCATGGGTGCAGTTGGCGTTACTTGTTTGCTATCTTCCGTATCACATAATGTCTATAATCTATGCAATTTCCGATGGAGGAAGAGTATCTGATACCGCGCGTCTTTCACATGCAGCTACCATCACTTTAGTGTACCTAAACTCATCCCTGAACCCGATTCTGTATTGTTGGAAGGTCAGAGAAGTGAAACAAGCCGTGAAGCACACCATCCGTCAGTTTTGCCGTTTAAGTTGTTGATAACACACAACCTACCTAATGATGCATGGTTGCGTTTCTTCCAACTTTGAACATGTTGTAACCCTTCACTACAACGCTCTGACTCTTGTATCGCCTGAACTCCTGTCCTGACAACCGTCCCTTTAGGCGAGGGTCTTCATCCTTGTAGCCATTCCACGCAACCTGTTCACAAAACAAAAATATTGTAATTTATGCCCCCTGCTCCGTTACTATGGATTATATTTCACAGTGTGCCTTCCTAAGGCTAAGCTCGGTTTACTGGGAAGGAAACTAAACTGACACAGATCTTTGCCATAATTTGGCCACTCAGTTAAGTGGCCGTTTATTGCAAAATCATCTCAAATTACAACAGAACTGGAAACGAGTACCTTTTTCCAGCAAAGGTGAGGACAAACACGCCCTACGTGACACTACGTCTGTTATAATGTACCACCGCTAATACTCCAAAAATGGGAGGGATGAAGTCGATGGGAAAAGCTTGCCCTGCACCGAAGCTTCTAGGAAGGAGGCCTGCAACCTGATGCTCAAATGCTTAAATGCTTAAATCTAAATCTACTCTAGTCCCGGATGTAGCACCATCCGGGAAACTAATCACGGGGCAGGTCGCAAAAAATTATTTATCCCCTTTGGTAATAAATCTCATTTGTGATTATCTTGAATTAGCATAAATTACTATTTTTTCCGTCAGGAGGCAGAGGGTTGAGGGCGGGTTGGAGGTGCCAAGTGTACATGTAATGTATAGCGGGAATAGAGTTTGAAATTATTTGCCGTTAGGAGGGTGTGACATTCTCGGGTCAGCCTTCACCGTGTACCATTGCAAAGTTCGTTTTTCGTTTTCTTCGTCATGCACGAATATTATTTTCCGATTTGGTATGATTCCTTAGTGCTGTCATTTAATGTTTCTAAGGCATCATTCACAGGATACCCTAAAACCCCAAGAGTAGCAACACTTTCTTGGTCGGGGGCGCATGTTCCCCATTTATTTCCACCTGCTTATTTATTTATCTTCTTTTTTTTTTTCAATGTGGGTTTCGTGACCGGCTTTAGTGCAGTTAGTTTTCGAATCTTTGTGACATCTCTGGACATTGAATAAATGGCGTGGTGGATAGGATGTCCAACGCGCCCAGTTTAATCACGATGTGTGTCCGGATGAGTGGTGGAGGCAGAATCTGACTTAAAAACCCAGTGCCAATAATCCTGATTACGTCTTGAAATGGACGAGTCATGTGTAAACGGCTGCAAATTCATTTTTCTGTTGTTAAAAGGGAATTAGAAATTCTTCATCCTTTATTTTATTAATTCACTTCAATCTGAAATAGAGACAGCCGTAATTGGACCTGCAAACACATTGACCTTCCCCTTTCCCCTAACTACCCAATTGATGCGATGAATGAATTTCTCGTGACCCAGTTGATTCTAAAAACGATTCAATGTTTGGACTACCCCATAGAGATCGCGGTTAGCTTATGTTAACATTAAACTGGAGTGAGATTTCGAACTGTGGCTTTTGTTTTCTCTGCTTTCTGCGTCGACCAGATGGACGTAAAAATCCTGATTGGTCAGAATTGATTTAAACTGTTTGATCTGATTTAGCCTGCGTGTCAGGCGTTCAAAGGGAATGGAGACGAAGGAATCGATAGTGGAGGGCGAGGAAAAACTGCGCGGGCGCAATCTTTTTCTCTGTTTTCTACGTCCATCAGATGAACGAAACAGTCCTGTTTGGTCAGAAGTAATTAGATACGATTACACTTATTGCTCAGTTCCGTGTCTTCATGTTCTAAAGCATCCATCTCAGTTGCGTTCATTCAACAGTTTCGAGCACGAGTTAAAGGTAGCGCAGGAGGGTCTGGATGGGGTTAACTAACAACTGATAACTAAAAATACCGGAAAATTTAACCTACAAATGACATAACGACAGACAGATCAAAGGTTTTAGTCCTTGATATTCGTTTTGCATGATCCACAACTGAAGGCTGTGTGCTTCAGGCCACAGGGAGAATCAAAATGTCTGTTGTTACTTTTAAAGCGGTCATTGGCGTCTTTATATCGTCTCGATTCCGATACAGCATTTGAACGTCATAGAAGCTGGATACCCATGAAAGGTGACTTACAGACGGTGGAGGCTTAAATGAAGTAGCAACAAAATATGGCCTTGGTAAATACGAAACGGTAAAGCGCCACCAGAGGTCTCCCAAGCTCCCGGGGAGCCGTGAGCATTTTAATATATTACGCTATTGCGTAACACAGCGTAAATGTAAAGTTATGCATGGACTGTCTGGGAAAGTAACGATCTTTTATAACTGCGAAATATGGAAAAGAAACTCAAGGATAAGCGATGCCACCTGCCACTTCATGCTGCAGATTTCAGAATTAAAATCAGGCATTTAGCACAAAGATCGCTTAGCAAGTTAGGTATAAAATACTCTACTACGTTCTTAACTCCCTTGAACTTTATTCATAAACCAAATTAAGCAAATAAAAACGCGAGGAGCCCAAGCAATCCCTAATTTACACCATTTTATCCCTGTCAGTAAAACCTGTTTCATTAATACACGTTATAAGATTAAAAAAAATCCAAGTACAAATTTCCAAAATATCCCGTCACCACACAACATTTCAATATCGTAAAAATATATAATAAACTAGCCAGTTTCAGCCTTCATGTTAACCATTATCGAATCATCAGCTCCTGACACGAATTAAGCTATTACTAAAAATAGCGACTGATTCCCAATCAATATTTGCTTGTTGAAGAGTTGCCAAGTTCGTTACTTTCTTTGAGTGTTTCCACTTAGTTGCAAAACTTGATCTTTAAAGACTGGTTAATCAGGAAATATTCTCAAACTTGTCTGATTTTGTTACTGCAAATTTTAGTGAAGGTCTATTGTCTGCTGACACATCTCTTCTGGATGAAAAAGATTGCTTATTACCAATTCGATTGGCTCTCAGGTGAAACAAGTTATCGTTTATAATTGTTTAATTTCGCCCACAGTTTATAATGAGTACTTATCTTACCCCATTTTACGCAAAAATAAAATAACTGACAAAATTTCTCTGAGTAGCCTATTGAAAACTTTTAGACCAGATGGCACAGAAGTGGACATTTCTTCCCAGATAATCTTCGAGTTTATCCTGCACTATATTCCTTCACCCTAAAAGGCGGTCCACTTGGAACTTCATTAAAGCTTGGAACGGGCTACATTTAAGCAAGCAAAGCATGAGAAATAGCCAAAAGCAAAAACAACAAATAAAATAAAATAAAAACTGATCAGTGTTCAAAGTCAGAGTCCATTATCCATTCCAATTTCTTTTCGCAGTCAGAGCATTCACAGGCAATGCAGTTTAAGTCACCATCAAAGTCACAACATGGCCAGCCGTGGTCTTTGATGTTTTTCCAGTTACAGTTACCAGCACTGCATTAGTGCCACCTGGGTACGCTGGGCTCTTTGCTTTGAAGCTGACGGAAAAGAAACTGGTTCGACCTTTACGAACTGTGATGGTGGAGCGGGTAAGCGTTGGCTGGAACTTCTCCGTGTCCTTGACATCGATGTCAAAGACTTCAGTTGGACCATTGTTGTGGACGATAAACATCACAAATCCATTTCCCTTTACTGGAACTGTGTATTCTTCTTTGGCGTACGCCACTCGGATCAGCACGTTGCTCGGTTTAGCGACACTGTGAGAGTTGCGTTCAAACTGGTTGCCTTTCTTCGTCTTTCCTTTCAACATAAGTTTGAAAGGGACAGACGGGGGAGTGAACGAAGCCGAGAAATGGGCTCCACTAGTTCCAACAGGTTTAACAGGGGCTGTACCAAGAAGCTTTCCATCCATGCTCAGAAGGGCGATGGTAAGAGACGATCCATCGATTTTTTCTGCTTCCGTGACTATCAAAACGACATGCGCAGTGTCACCTAAGGAAAAGGGGAAGATGATGATTACTTTGACAGTTTTTTGTTGTTTTGTTTCTTTTTAAGTTGTCAGTTCTGATAGCAAACTAACAGACAGTGGCCATATAAACTTAAAAAAGAAAAAACATTGAGAATTGGTAACGTAGAAAAATTGGCCGGTGTCATCTGGTGAAAAATCCCAATGGACAGTGCTCATGTTGCTTATAGATATATAGATATATCGATATTTCTCAGTTTTAAATTTAAGTGAATCATGATGAAATGAATCCTGGTTTGGTATCACAGTATGTGTATACACATCCTACGGACGAGAATGGTGATATTTTTGTCAAATGCCTTGAACCTTTAGCGATTTTGTTACGACGCGTGATTTTGAAGTTGCAACGCTAACCGAACGCGACGAAATCGTGGCGGAAATCGCCACAAAAAAAAAACACTGAACCAAAACTCCCTTATGTAGGAAGGGGTCGCATTTAAGGGAAGGGGAACAGTGGTTGCGATGCATGTACATACCAAGTAGAGGGTGAGAAACAGGTATCGGCTTCCTATTTCTTCCATAGCTTGGAATCATCACAAAGAAGAAGTCAAAGTCGATGTTTGTTTTGCTGGATCCTTTGACCAGGTACGTGTGCTTCCCTGTACCAGAGATACTCAATTTCCACGATCCAGGCCTAGGGCCATTAATTTCATACAAAGCCCCTCGAGGAAAAAGAATTTTTCCCGAGGAAACAACGTGCCTCAAAGGATCCTTTAAGGTGATTTTGTGGCCCGTGTTTTCCGTGGTTACTGTTACAATGATCTTTTCGATTGAGTCGTCGACAGGGATTGTATACTCTCTGGTTGTACTTCTCTTCCTTTTACCACTGCTGTTGGCACCACCTCCACCGCAGAGGCATGTTGTTCCTGTCAGCGAAATCCCAGTTATGGAGGAGAGGATTTAGCTTTGAGCTAGAGGGGAGATAAAGCATTTGACCACAGGTTTCTCTAGCTAGGTCTTCAAACGGCTTGTAAGAAGACTTTCCACATAGGCGTAATCCCGTCGTGAAAAAGTTTATGGTCAGCCCCGTTGCCTGAGCAAATGTAACAGCCTCAGCGATATTTTCTGGAGTGTCATCTTTGGCGGAAGCATCTGTAAAGACATAGAGCGGGGAACCGGGCAGAGGACTGGAGTTCATGGCGTCCAGGATCCCCTNTTTCCAGTTCAATAAAAGTGACGGATCTGACAAAATGTAAAATCATTCATTTCCTTACAATTAGAGTCTCTTTTTGAACTGCCAACACGTTTCAGCGCGCCAAAGTGGCGAATCTCACTGAAGATTAAAGTAAAGTGCATCAAGCAAACATATCAATGTCGCTTACAGGTGCTGCTGTGTTTCTTTCAACCTTGAACATTTTCCTGTCCATTACTGCATCAGTGAGCAATGCTCTGATCCTCGTTGCTCTTCATAAAGAATCTTCTCTTCATCCACCAACAAAACTTTTATTTCAATGTCTTGCGGTTACTGACCTTTGTGCTGGCGTCATTTCGCAGCCGCTCTTTGCAGTCGCGATTTTGGCACGTGTAATTAAGAGAACTTACCTCAAGGATGGATTCATTGTTACAGGATTTCTCTTGTGTGGGACATCAGCCGCGACAACGGCGGCAATAAGTGTGGACAGATTTCTCGCCCTCTTACTTGGTTTGAGATACCGACATGTTGTAACTCTAAAACGAACTCGTGCAGTAATAGTCTGTTTCTTTGTCATTGGTATTTCAGTTGGATCGATGCACTTTTGGAGTGATCAAGTTGCCTGGCTTGCAGATATTATTTTTGGACTAGTTTCTCTGATAGCTTCAATCTTATCTTACACGAAGATTTACTTGACATTACGTCAACATCAAGCTCAAGTCCAAGAACGTGTCAACCAAGGACAGCAAAACGGAGGAGGAATTCCACTGAATATAGCTCGATACAAGAAGTCGGTTTCTAGCATAGCATGGGTGCAGTTGGCGTTACTTGTTTGCTATCTTCCGTATCACATAATGTCTATAATCTATGCAATTTCCGATGGAGGAAGAGTATCTGATACCGCGCGTCTTTCACATGCAGCTACCATCACTTTAGTGTACCTAAACTCATCCCTGAACCCGATTCTGTATTGTTGGAAGGTCAGAGAAGTGAAACAAGCCGTGAAGCACACCATCCGTCAGTTTTGCCGTTTAAGTTGTTGATAACACACAACCTACCTAATGATGCATGGTTGCGTTTCTTCCAACTTTGAACATGTTGTAACCCTTCACTACAACGCTCTGACTCTTGTATCGCCTGAACTCCTGTCCTGACAACCGTCCCTTTAGGCGAGGGTCTTCATCCTTGTAGCCATTCCACGCAACCTGTTCACAAAACAAAAATATTGTAATTTATGCCCCCTGCTCCGTTACTATGGATTATATTTCACAGTGTGCCTTCCTAAGGCTAAGCTCGGTTTACTGGGAAGGAAACTAAACTGACACAGATCTTTGCCATAATTTGGCCACTCAGTTAAGTGGCCGTTTATTGCAAAATCATCTCAAATTACAACAGAACTGGAAACGAGTACCTTTTTCCAGCAAAGGTGAGGACAAACACGCCCTACGTGACACTACGTCTGTTATAATGTACCACCGCTAATACTCCAAAAATGGGAGGGATGAAGTCGATGGGAAAAGCTTGCCCTGCACCGAAGCTTCTAGGAAGGAGGCCTGCAACCTGATGCTCAAATGCTTAAATGCTTAAATCTAAATCTACTCTAGTCCCGGATGTAGCACCATCCGGGAAACTAATCACGGGGCAGGTCGCAAAAAATTATTTATCCCCTTTGGTAATAAATCTCATTTGTGATTATCTTGAATTAGCATAAATTACTATTTTTTCCGTCAGGAGGCAGAGGGTTGAGGGCGGGTTGGAGGTGCCAAGTGTACATGTAATGTATAGCGGGAATAGAGTTTGAAATTATTTGCCGTTAGGAGGGTGTGACATTCTCGGGTCAGCCTTCACCGTGTACCATTGCAAAGTTCGTTTTTCGTTTTCTTCGTCATGCACGAATATTATTTTCCGATTTGGTATGATTCCTTAGTGCTGTCATTTAATGTTTCTAAGGCATCATTCACAGGATACCCTAAAACCCCAAGAGTAGCAACACTTTCTTGGTCGGGGGCGCATGTTCCCCATTTATTTCCACCTGCTTATTTATTTATCTTCTTTTTTTTTTTCAATGTGGGTTTCGTGACCGGCTTTAGTGCAGTTAGTTTTCGAATCTTTGTGACATCTCTGGACATTGAATAAATGGCGTGGTGGATAGGATGTCCAACGCGCCCAGTTTAATCACGATGTGTGTCCGGATGAGTGGTGGAGGCAGAATCTGACTTAAAAACCCAGTGCCAATAATCCTGATTACGTCTTGAAATGGACGAGTCATGTGTAAACGGCTGCAAATTCATTTTTCTGTTGTTAAAAGGGAATTAGAAATTCTTCATCCTTTATTTTATTAATTCACTTCAATCTGAAATAGAGACAGCCGTAATTGGACCTGCAAACACATTGACCTTCCCCTTTCCCCTAACTACCCAATTGATGCGATGAATGAATTTCTCGTGACCCAGTTGATTCTAAAAACGATTCAATGTTTGGACTACCCCATAGAGATCGCGGTTAGCTTATGTTAACATTAAACTGGAGTGAGATTTCGAACTGTGGCTTTTGTTTTCTCTGCTTTCTGCGTCGACCAGATGGACGTAAAAATCCTGATTGGTCAGAATTGATTTAAACTGTTTGATCTGATTTAGCCTGCGTGGCGGGCGTTCAAAGGGAATGGAGACGAAGGAATCGATAGTGGAGGGCGGGGAAAAACTGCGCGGGCGCAATCTTTTTCTCTGTTTTCTACGTCCATCAGATGAACGAAAAAGTCCTGTTTGGTCAGAAGTAATTAGATACGATTACACTTATCGCTCAGTTTCGTGTCTTCATGTACTAAAGCATCCATCTCAGTTACGTTCATTCAACAGTTTCGAGTACGAGTTAAAGGTAGCGCAGGAGGGTCTGGATGGGGTTAACTAACAACTGATAAATACGTACAGTATACCGGAAAATTTAACCTACAAATGACATAACGACAGACAGATCAAAGGTTTTAGTCCTTGATATTCGTTTTGCATGATCCACAACTGAAGGCTGTGTGCTTCAGGCCACAGGGAGAATCAAAATGTCTGTTGTTACTTTTAAAGCGGTCATTGGCGTCTTTATATCGTCTCGATTCCGATACAGCATTTGAACGTCATAGAAGCTGGATACCCATGAAAGGTGACTTACAGACGGTGGAGGCTTAAATGAAGTAGCAACAAAATATGGCCTTGGTAAATACGAAACGGTAAAGCGCCACCAGAGGTCTCCCAAGCTCCCGGGGAGCCGTGAGCATTTTAATATATTACGCTATTGCGTAACACAGCGTAAATGTAAAGTTATGCATGGACTGTCTGGGAAAGTAACGATCTTTTATAACTGCGAAATATGGAAAAGAAACTCAAGGATAAGCGATGCCACCTGCCACTTCATGCTGCAGATTTCAGAATTAAAATCAGGCATTTAGCACAAAGATCGCTTAGCAAGTTAGGTATAAAATACTCTACTACGTTCTTAACTCCCTTGAACTTTATTCATAAACCAAATTAAGCAAATAAAAACGCGAGGAGCCCAAGCAATCCCTAATTTACACCATTTTATCCCTGTCAGTAAAACCTGTTTCATTAATACACGTTATAAGATTAAAAAAAATCCAAGTACAAATTTCCAAAATATCCCGTCACCACACAACATTTCAATATCGTAAAAATATATAATAAACTAGCCAGTTTCAGCCTTCATGTTAACCATTATCGAATCATCAGCTCCTGACACGAATTAAGCTATTACTAAAAATAGCGACTGATTCCCAATCAATATTTGCTTGTTGAAGAGTTGCCAAGTTCGTTACTTTCTTTGAGTGTTTCCACTTAGTTGCAAAACTTGATCTTTAAAGACTGGTTAATCAGGAAATATTCTCAAACTTGTCTGATTTTGTTACTGCAAATTTTAGTGAAGGTCTATTGTCTGCTGACACATCTCTTCTGGATGAAAAAGATTGCTTATTACCAATTCGATTGGCTCTCAGGTGAAACAAGTTATCGTTTATAATTGTTTAATTTCGCCCACAGTTTATAATGAGTACTTATCTTACCCCATTTTACGCAAAAATAAAATAACTGACAAAATTTCTCTGAGTAGCCTATTGAAAACTTTTAGACCAGATGACACAGAAGTGGACATTTCTTCCCAGATAATCTTCGAGTTTATCCTGCACTATATTCCTTCACCCTAAAAGGCGGTCCACTTGGAACTTCATTAAAGCTTGGAACGGGCTACATTTAAGCAAGCAAAGCATGAGAAATAGCCAAAAGCAAAAACAACAAATAAAATAAAATAAAAACTGATCAGTGTTCAAAGTCAGAGTCCATTATCCATTCCAATTTCTTTTCGCAGTCAGAGCATTCACAGGCAATGCAGTTTAAGTCACCATCAAAGTCACAACATGGCCAGCCGTGGTCTTTGATGTTTTTCCAGTTACAGTTACCAGCACTGCATTAGTGCCACCTGGGTACGCTGGGCTCTTTGCTTTGAAGCTGACGGAAAAGAAACTGGTTCGACCTTTACGAACTGTGATGGTGGAGCGGGTAAGCGTTGGCTGGAACTTCTCCGTGTCCTTGACATCGATGTCAAAGACTTCAGTTGGACCATTGTTGTGGACGATAAACATCACAAATCCATTTCCCTTTACTGGAACTGTGTATTCTTCTTTGGCGTACGCCACTCGGATCAGCACGTTGCTCGGTTTAGCGACACTGTGAGAGTTGCGTTCAAACTGGTTGCCTTTCTTCGTCTTTCCTTTCAACATAAGTTTGAAAGGGACAGACGGGGGAGTGAACGAAGCCGAGAAATGGGCTCCACTAGTTCCAACAGGTTTAACAGGGGCTGTACCAAGAAGCTTTCCATCCATGCTCAGAAGGGCGATGGTAAGAGACGATCCATCGATTTTTTCTGCTTCCGTGACTATCAAAACGACATGCGCAGTGTCACCTAAGGAAAAGGGGAAGATGATGATTACTTTGACAGTTTTTTGTTGTTTTGTTTCTTTTTAAGTTGTCAGTTCTGATAGCAAACTAACAGACAGTGGCCATATAAACTTAAAAAAGAAAAAACATTGAGAATTGGTAACGTAGAAAAATTGGCCGGTGTCATCTGGTGAAAAATCCCAATGGACAGTGCTCATGTTGCTTATAGATATATAGATATATCGATATTTCTCAGTTTTAAATTTAAGTGAATCATGATGAAATGAATCCTGGTTTGGTATCACAGTATGTGTATACACATCCTACGGACGAGAATGGTGATATTTTTGTCAAATGCCTTGAACCTTTAGCGATTTTGTTACGACGCGTGATTTTGAAGTTGCAACGCTAACCGAACGCGACGAAATCGTGGCGGAAATCGCCACAAAAAAAAAACACTGAACCAAAACTCCCTTATGTAGGAAGGGGTCGCATTTAAGGGAAGGGGAACAGTGGTTGCGATGCATGTACATACCAAGTAGAGGGTGAGAAACAGGTATCGGCTTCCTATTTCTTCCATAGCTTGGAATCATCACAAAGAAGAAGTCAAAGTCGATGTTTGTTTTGCTGGATCCTTTGACCAGGTACGTGTGCTTCCCTGTACCAGAGATACTCAATTTCCACGATCCAGGCCTAGGGCCATTAATTTCATACAAAGCCCCTCGAGGAAAAAGAATTTTTCCCGAGGAAACAACGTGCCTCAAAGGATCCTTTAAGGTGATTTTGTGGCCCGTGTTTTCCGTGGTTACTGTTACAATGATCTTTTCGATTGAGTCGTCGACAGGGATTGTATACTCTCTGGTTGTACTTCTCTTCCTTTTACCACTGCTGTTGGCACCACCTCCACCGCAGAGGCATGTTGTTCCTGTCAGCGAAATCCCAGTTATGGAGGAGAGGATTTAGCTTTGAGCTAGAGGGGAGATAAAGCATTTGACCACAGGTTTCTCTAGCTAGGTCTTCAAACGGCTTGTAAGAAGACTTTCCACATAGGCGTAATCCCGTCGTGAAAAAGTTTATGGTCAGCCCCGTTGCCTGAGCAAATGTAACAG